GGGGCGGGGGGGGGGGGGCGGGGCGTGCAGTGGCAGAAAGATGGAAACTGCATCATGCCTTTGTGTCACAAGCACACACCCCTTTTTTGTGTGGCATATTGCATGCACCTACAAAAAGGGGGAGCTCACAACACAACAGTGCCACACTACCTCATTTTGACAAAAGCAGCAAGATCCTTCAAACACCCATGATCAGAGCATCTTTGATCGTATGCTGTTCCAAACAACAAAACTAGAAGTCCTTTAAAAACAAAAAAGATATTTAAAAAGCATATTTAAAAAGATATTTAAAAAGAATCTCCAGCACTGATTTTATGATTTGGTATACTTTGGCACCTCATAATGAACAGCTTGTAGCCACTTTACTTTTAAATATGTTTTATAGATGTACATAAATTGGAAGTGTTAATCACTAAGAGCTCATTGCATCTGTTAATAATAATTAAGTAAATATTTTCCTGCCAAACTGAGATCACCAGCGTAAGAGGATTGCTGACCTTGAAGCCTGGTTGGTCATCTCTTCTTCTCCAGAATATAGAGCAGTGTTTCTCAACCTTGGCAACTTCAAGCTGTGTGAACTTCAACTCCTAGAATTCCCCAGCCAGCATGCTGGGGAATTCTGGGAGCTGAAGTTCACACAGCTTGAAGTTGCCAAGGTTGAGAAACACTGATACAGAGGATGTTTTTGTTCAGGGAGAGGCAGGGACTGAGGGCCTCATCTGTTATCACCATTTTTTAGACAATAAACGTAGGGTCCCAGAAGCCTTGCATCCTTCTGCCTGCAATTCTGCTGCTGCTCTGCCCTCAGAGCAGACAAGTGTTAGCAGCAGCTTTTTTTATAGTCTAACAACGCTTTGCCAAAAATAGTCATGTGTGTATGCACTGATTTATGCACTGCCTACTTTCCTCAGGACTCAAGGCGGTTTATTATCCCATGCAATAAAAACAGAAGAGTAGTAAGGAGGCCATCAGCACCTTGAATTGTCTCAGAAAAAAAGCCTTTTTTAAAGATCTTTCTTCTTAAAAATCAAGTTGTCAGGGCAGCCACCCAGAAGCCTCGGGGGGGGGGAAATCCCCAACTCCTCTCTGTAGGTGGGTGCGTGGGTTCATGGTATCTAGGTGGGGGACCAGAGCTGTCATGCCACCGAGTCCTGGGGCCAGGCATGTTGAGACCCAACCCAGGCAGGGAGCATCCCTTCCTCCACCCAGCTCTTGCCTTTTCCTCGGTGCTTTGCAGGGACAGAAAGGTCTCAGAGCCTGGAAATTACAGTGGTACCTCGGGTTACGAACGCCTCTGCTAACAAACTTTTTGGGTTACGACCAGCTCCGGCCGCAAAAATTTACCTGAGTTTGCGAACTCCGCCTCGGGGTACGAACAGGATCTGCGGCCATTTTCCCGCCCGTGACACGTGGTCCGCGGCCATTTTCCACCCCTGACACGTGGTCCGCTGCCATTTTTTACCCGACACGTGGTCTGCGGCCATTTTTCCACCCGACACGTGGTCCACAGCCATTTTCCGCCCCTGACACCTGGTCCGCAGCCATTTTTCCGCCCCTGACATGTGGTCCACGGCCATTTTCCGCCCCTGACATGTGGTCCGCGGCCATTTTCTGCCCGACACGTGGTCGTAGAGAGGGGGACTCTCCCTCCAAGCAATAGCCGCTTACCTGTCCGCCACGCCAGAACGGATGAACGGTAATTACATTGAGCCTTATGGGAAAATTTGCTTCGGGGTGCGACCAATTCGGGGTGCGACCAGAGTCACGGAACGGATTAAATTCGTAACCCGAGGTACCACTGTACTGCACTCCGATTCTCTTTTTGTCTGCTTGGATTAAATTAATCACTGGTGGTTAATTTAGGGGCACCACTTAACACAGTCTGTTAAATAAAGATTACTAAGACATTAACTGGATGCATTATTCAGTTTCTCAGTATACTTTGACACACAATGTGCAAATTGAGCCCCTTTTTGTACTTTCCACCTGCCCCATTTTTCAGAGTCACATTTTTTGGTTGTATCTTAGGAAAGTGCTACAATCCAATGAGGAACCAATGGTAGTCCTGTGCAGGTTCTGCAAAATTGAACATGAGGAGAGAAAACACACCCTCTCACCATTATTCACTCCTAATCTTATAAGGTTGACCATCTCCCATATCAAAACAACACAGCTACCAGAAAATAAGTTTTATTTCAGGAAAAGTGATGCTGTATTAGTACAAAGACCAACAAAATAATACTGCTTCTTCTCAAAATGTAATTTACAAGGTTTTCTTCTTTCCATAAAAGAAAATACACAGAAAATACAGAATATGAACCAAAACAGGGAGCACAACTTCTGGCTAATTTTTGATCAGCACAAGTAAAAAAAAAAAAAAAAAAGAAGCAGACATGGAATGTGCTTTGGGTTGGTTCACACGTGAGGGGTTTTTTTCATATGACCTGTAACAAGTACCAGCTGTCATTTATAGCACCATGGTGACATACACTTACTTATTAAATGGCACATTAAAAAAAAAAAACAAAAAACACTAAAGAAGACTAAATGCCAACTCATTGTACAAAGGTAACTCTTATAAAATAGGCTATGATAAAACGAGACATATTGTATATAACTACAGCATTAATGAACATTCTTATTTTCCAATACGCATTTTTTCCATGCAGCATGAATAGCGTACACATATGGCAATTCTGCAATAGCTCAGTTGTGTTTATTTCAGGGCGAATCCGAGCCAGCACCACTTAGAATGAAATATCAAGTGTTCGCTTCTAAGAATACATGATTTGTAATCAGCTGCCTACAGTAACACAAGTATGTTGAGCACCTTTTGTTGTAGTGAATGAGGTTTGTATGATATAGTGAGGTTACCTGAAGGAAATACAGTACGGCTTGGCCTGCAATACTAAGGATATCACAAGCCATCCAGATGTTTTGTTACAGTGGTTGCACATCATTTCCATGACTACTCTAGTCTTTATGACGTGCGTGTTGAGCATCAGCACCAAATTTAAAGTTGAAATTCTGATCATGGTTATTTAAGATAAATATCTTGCTCAGCAAAAAGAAAGCCCCGGGGAAGCATATTACAGTACTCATTTGATCATGTGACATTTTGTTTTTTATGTTTTATGGACCACAGGCACAATACTGAGAGGAAACTTTGTCAATCTATTAGTTTCTGTCCTTTTTTTTTCTAAAATACCTAATACATGTAATAGTTCAAATTCATAAAATCGCAAAGAAAAACAAGTTTTCTTTTTCTTTTTTAACACAGATTGTTAATTTCTCCATATATTACTGCATTAAAAATAAATAAAATCTCTATTTTTAATTTAGGAACTACAGCAAAATACCCAATATGCTAGACTGCTTATAGGAAAAAAGTAGCTCATGTTTTGTGCCATTTAGTGCCATATATGATCTTTTAAGCACATTTTTTTTTAAAGTATACTTAAAATTGAGGTTATATAGACAATATAGTAACCATGATTGTTGGCATTGTAATCAAAGCTCTGGCCACAGAAAAGTCAAGGTCTATCCTGCAGTCTTGTTCAGGATGGAAAGATGCAGAGGTCACTATTCTTTGCAATTTTTGGTCTTTTGAAAAAGTAAGCCATTGACCCCTTTAAAGCTTTCAAACCAAAGTATGGTAAGATATGTGAATGGAAGGGACTCCTTCATGATGGGGGTGAGGAAGGAAGGTTTTAGTAGAGTTCAATCCAAAGTCTCATTTTAAGAGCTTCTCCAAGTTCTCCTAGGAGGTAGTTGTCCTCGTTGCTTTCTTCCAACTTCTTTAGCTCTTCCTTTTTGTACAGAGGAATGCTTACTATTTCCAGTGTGTAAATACCAGCCATGGCTTTTTTCTTAGCAACTTGAAGATAACTGAGCCCATCTTTCTGATGTATCCGGAAGGTGCTGTTGTGATTACCAAAGGAGATAACATAGCGGTTGTGATTTGTGAGGGGCTGTATTGCGGGCATGAGATCTAATATATGCTCTTTATTGCCAAGGCCAGATATGCTGAACCTCATCCTCAATGGAAGATCAATGTCCAAACTTTCCAAACTGATCTGTTAAAGCAAAAATAAAAGGTGAGAGCAAAAGGCACAGGCAAACTTCACGATTTCTGTTTAGACAATATTTTTTTTTACCATGGATTATTAATTATTCTAATTTCTCATCATTGCTGCTTCCCTGCTACTGGGTTTAGAATGTCACCAAGAGCTCAGGTCCAGAAGCTGCATTTCAAGGCATTTATAGAAGGCAAGCAGACATCTCCCACTCTCCCAGAATACAAAACCATCTTTTGTGCTCTGCTAATTTACTGGTTGATTTGTTCAATAGGAAAATACAGAATCTGCATAGGACCTAGGAAATACTGATCAATATACTTTTATCATATCAGCAAAGCAGCATTCCCCACACGCAGCTCTTCAGATGTGTTAGACTTCATTTCCTATGTTTTGTTGGCTGGTAGGAGAAATGTACATGGGTGATGAAGTCCAATTTACCTAGAGGAAGGTGAACATGAAGTAATTCCCCGCCCCTGATGAGAAAGTCTCAGTTCACTGTTTTTTCATTTCAATAAAACAATTGTGGGGAGAGTGTGTGTGCTATCCACAAATATCTAATAAATTGGAAAGCATATCATCATGGAGGTTTACATCATTTGTGTGATGACATAATCAAATGGCACAAAATCTCATTTTACATCATTTGTGTGATGACCTCATTACATATGCATAATGAGGCCATTACACACATTAAGACATTTATAACATTTGCATAATCACAATTAGGCAAATTACATAAACTGCAGCGAACATTTGGTCCATTGTATGCAACATCCTTTCCATTATGCACTGAAATTTCATTGCAGTTGTAGTGACTACTCTGGTGAGAATAACCATGGAACAAGAAAAAACAGTCAATTAAAAGTGGGAATCAGTTGACAAGAACAAAATCAGTAATTTTATTTTAATTCCTGAAACTTAGAGGCCACAACTCCAAAATGAGTCTGGATGGCTTACATCAAATTTAATAAAGTAATCATATGACTTTATGAGTTTTTCTAGGATCCCTCAATATTCTGCAGTAGCAGTCTTTTCCTGTAATGATTACTCATTTATTTTAAATCCCATTGTTTTGCTCTATTTGTATATATAAACTCTCTTTGAAACTGGAGGGGCAGAACTACTATGCATAACTATTATGCATTCTGTAGTAGCTCTATGCAAGCTCATGTAAGAAACTGCTATTGACAGAACACAGTAGACAGAAGGATATCGTTCTTGATGCTAATAATGCAAGATTATTAGTAGTTTCTTTTCAAAGCCACATAAGATTCTGACAAATTCAGTGGAAGCATTTCTTAGATCTGGTTTTGGAACAGCAAGTGAAAATCAGCTATGCAGTTTTTGCTTACCTCTGCAGGCTGAGATTGATTGAGACTTCTTTTCTTCCTGCTGTCTTTTTGGGAGTATCCATTAATTTTACACTCATAACATGCTTCTGGAGACAAAGCATTCTCCTCACCTTGATCCACTGGTAGATACTGGCCTTTACTAAACCCCATACCTGAGACACAGTGTCTGTTGAATAACATAATCATATTAGCACCAGAAGAAAGAAGCCTTTTTGTTGCCATATTGCTAGTTCATAAGAGAAATTCATGATGTGTTATGCATCAGATCATAACCCCAAGTTGTAATCATTTTGTGCAAACAAATTCCAGACTTTAATTATGCATTTCCTTCTCTATGTTTTGAATCTTTTAGTTTCAAAGAGGGATTTATTCCTTTCTAAACTTTTTATCAGCTTCCTCACTGATTTTGCTTGTGGGAAGCTGTCAGGGAAGTTCGCAAATGGTGATCCCGTAACTGCGAGATGCTGCAACCATCGTAGTAATGAGCTGGTTGCCAAGCACCCAAATTGTGATCACATGACTGTGGGGATGCTGCAACGGCCACAACTTCGAGGACTGGTTGTAAGTCCCCCTTGTTCAGTGCCATTGTAACTTTGAACAGTTGCTGAACAAGTGGTCATCACCTAAGGGCTACCTGTAGCACTGAAAGTATTTGGTGTAGTTATAAGACATTAAGAGATGGGATTTTACTCTACCACTTGACTATCCCCAAGTGACTTGATGAGAATGGTTCAACTGGTGGAACAATGGCGGAAAGGAGACACAGGATACTCTAGGAAAAAAGAGTATAATCTCTTTCCTAATTTAGGCAGCAGAAAAACTCTACTGATTAAAACTCCTGCTGAAAAGAGCTATTCTGTCAATAGAGGTGTTACCCTGGAGTACCTCGGTATTTAATTTTCATCCCATATGAATTTGTAGATTCCGTATAATTGTAAAGAAATCACTACAGCTGCCATATTATTCAGTTTCATAAATAAAGACATTTTATGTTTAAGCAACAGGTATAGGATTTGGCTTGGAAAAACTTAAAATTTGCTGGAATAACATGCATTCAGTGCAAGTTTGATAAAGGGAGAACAGTGGAGCCAAATGAGTCTGTAACTGGCTGGTAGCACTGTTTAAAAAAAACCCTGATGATAATCAGCACTGAGTTGGGTATGAGTTAGACAGATGTTACAGATACATTCTTTTTTTGTGGAGGACTAGATTACAACAAAAAAATTATAGTTTCTACGTACTGGCTGTTTCAAGGCAGTCTTAAACATTCTACCATTCGTGAAAGCATAAAATGAAATCAGAGGTCACAAAGGTTATTGCGCTAGTAGAAAACTAGTATTTATTAATTAATTGGGATTTTTTAAAATAATATTGAGATTTTAAAGTTACAAAGTTAAAAGTTGGAAATGAAAAAGAAAATTGAAAATACAAATTATAAAGAAAAGGAAAAGAAAAAGTGAGATAAAGTAAAAGAAAAAAGATATGAAAAATAGATTTTTCTGCCATTTCCATCAGTTTTAACAACCATTCTTGTATTGTTGGTATTGTCTGGGTTTTCCAAAATTGTGCATAAAGAAGTCTTTTTTCTGCCATTTCCATCAGTTTTAACAACCATTCTTGTATTGTTGGTATTGTCTGGGTTTTCCAAAATTGTGCATAAAGAAGTCTTTTTTCTGCCATTTCCATCAGTTTTAACAACCATTCTTGTATTGTTGGTCAATGGTTTCCATTCTTTAAGGTAATAGTTATTTGAGTTTTCTTTTAATAAGCAAGTCAGTTTATCATTTTCTGCCATTTCCATCAGTTTTAACAACCATTCTTGTATTGTTGGTATTGTCTGGGTTTTCCAAAATTGTGCATAAAGAAGTCTTGCTGCAGTAATCATGTATTGAGTAAATTAATTGTGATTTGACTCTCCCAAGATAATAGAAATTGCTTCATATTAAAATATGTTGGTCACTCACAGTTTTGTAGAAGATGCAGGCATGTGTCTGTCACAGTCAACTACTCACCCTTGCCCTGCTCTGTAATATCCCGGGGGGCAGCCACAAAGGTATCCGCCTTCAGTGTTGGAACAGCCGTAATTGCAGGGATTCTTAGTAGAGGAGCATTCATTGACATCATGGCAAGCACTTGTGAGCTGATCATAAGAGAATCCAGAGGGACACGCACACTTGTAGCTTCCAAGAGTGTTGTAGCACGAAGCTGAGCCACAAATACTAGGACTTGAGCATTCGTTTTCATCTGTTGGGCAATTGATAACACACCTTTTTAAGTATACAGATTTTATCAAGGGAGAACTTGTCAAAACAGTGACTAATTCCAAATGCTCATAAATGTATTTCCAGGTTTTCTTTTTAAGATTGGAATAGAGAAGTGGGTGTTATTTTAAAGAACACAGAATAATAGAATAAGTATATTTCATTTTAATAGTAGGGGTTGGTATAACACCTAGCAATGTGATGGGGCGACTGAGCTTTTTTTCTCTTTTCAGCACAAGTATATCACTTGGAAGGCTACAAGTTTCTTCCGAACATGCAGTAATTCGACATATCATTCTGAAATGATTTCTACTGCATTGATGCTTCATTATATAACTTGTGGTTATTATTCCCATTTCCAGAGGATCCTCTTCTCTCCCAGCACAGAATCCTAGGACCTATACTGACCTGTACACAGGCCAGTCCTTGGATCTACTGCAATTTTGGGCCATATGATCATGTTGGCTACAGAGCAGTATTTTTAGAGTTACAGGTAGTCCTTGCTTACTGACCACCTCATTTACCAACCATTTTAAGTTACGATGGAGCTGAAAAAGTAACTTTATGACCAGTCTTCACATTTAGACCCATGCAGCGTCCCCATAGTCACGTAATCAACATTTGGGCACGATGCAATCAGCAGGCATTTATGGCAGTCACAGCGTTATGCAGTCAGGTGATTGCCAATTGTGTGCTTCACAACTGGCTTGCGACAAGCAGAGTCAGTGGAGAAGGTGGCAGTAAAATTGGAAGTTGCAGTCACGTGATGTCTTGCTTAACAACTCACTTAATGACCAAATGGAAAGTGATGTTGTAAGTTTGTTGCAATCATGTTGTTTCACTTAGTGACTGTGGCACTTAGCAACGGAGTTGCTGGTCCCAATTGTGGTTGCTAAGCAAGGACTACCTGTAGTATAATATTAATTAGAGATCCAGAAGAAAGCAATGGTAAATTATTTTGGTACTGTTGCCAAGAAAACTTTGTGGAAGTCTTTGTGGAAAAGTTAATTTTTTTACATTTAGGCACACCCCATGAAGGAACAAATGATATAAAATAAAGTAATTCTGGGTTTCTGCACACTATTTTTCTTCTCTACCTCACATCATTAATTCTGGAACTCTCTGTGTAAAATGAGTTTCTTACCGACACATTGATTCCACTGGTAATGCTGGATAAATCCTTGTGGGCAGCTGCATCTATAGCCACCAAGAATATTTTGGCAGCCATGTTGACATCTATGATTTCCTTCACACTCATCCACATCTACAAATAAAGATATTATGGTAAAGAAAAAGAGAAAAGAATGAAATAGCAAATAATTTGCTAAATTTGGTGTATATATCTATAGAAGAACAATTCCATGTGACCCAATGAGACGTTCTTTTGAGTTATTATGCACAGGATTGTATTATTATTAAAAAAATTTATTAGGAGGGAAGTATATTCAAGCTGTAAAAATCCTCTGCAACCATTACAAGCCAGGAAGGTAGTGCTTCAATTTTTTCTCCCTCCCTCACTTAAGGATAGGAAGGAATCAAAGGCCAGGAGGACAGCCCTACCCTTAGCCATTCAGTTAAACAGTATTTATGAGAAGCAGCTGCTCTTTCTAGGGATGATGTAACAGCTGCACATGGTTAGTTAAAATGTTCAGTTTGCTTACTGGCTACTGAGAAGAGGAACAGGACATGACTCAGCTAAGTGAAAGGATGGAAGATTTATTAAATATTTTTTAAATTTCAGCCACTCTCCTTTATTTCCTCCCATTCATTCATTGGATCTGTAGACCATCCCATTCCAAATTATTCTGGAAGGCTTTACAAAATTAAAACAACAGTAAAATACAAAACAACCACAGCAATCAAAACAGCATCCATTCAGGGAGCAAAAACTCTCCACATTCCTCATAATGCCCAGAACCCATCCATCTACTAACCTAAGGCCTGTGGAAAAAGCCAGGTTTTTAAAGCACACTTAAAGATGGGGCAAGGTGGGAGCCATGTTCCAAAGAGCAGGAGCTGTGACTGAGAAGGACCCCATTAAATGACATTGCTTAACTGAAGGGACCTGAAGTAAGCCAACGCTGCTGGAATGCACAGAATGGGCAGACATTATGGGAGACAGATGTCCTCCAGCTTGCTAGGCCATATGCCATTTAGGGCTTTATAGGTAATGACCAGCCCCTTAAATTGCACCTGTATGCCAACTGGCAACCAGTGAAACTCATATAACAGGAGTGCTATGTGGGCATCATGAGGTTTGCTCATCATTGCTCATGTTGCCAACTTCTGGACCAGCTGTGCTTTGCAAATGGTGTTTAAGGGCAGCCCCATGTAAAGAGCATTGCATTAATCAAACCATGAGGTGATCAAGGTACGAGTAACCATGTGGAAGGCCTCTTGATCCAGGAACAGGCACAACGAGTGTACAAGCTGTTTCTATAAAAGGCCTTCCTGGCCACAGTTGACACCTGCTCCTTGAGCAGGAGTTGAGAGTTGAGGAAGACCCCCAGATTGTACCCCATCCCAAGCAAGGCAGTGCCACCCAACTCAGGCCTCGTATACCCACAACTACTTGGTTTCACTAGGGTTGAGTTTAAACCTGTTCCTCCCTATCTGGACCTTTATAGGGACAAGACCTCAACAGCATCACTTGACAAGCAAGGGGCTGAGAGTTACAGCTGAGTGTCATCAGCAACAGATGAGCTCCCCTAGTGGCCTCATGTAACTGTTGAACAGGAGGGGAGAAAGCATTAAGCTCTGAGTCACTCTGCATATCAGGGGGTTTGGGCTTGATCATTTCCCTTCCCTCAACATTAATTGGAACTGACTGCAGAGAAAGGAAAAGAACCACCATAACACTACATATCTTATAACCCTGCAACCAGTCCATGTTTAATGGTATTTGGCCATTCTATTTTTCAGAAAACTGATCAGTTTGAAGTTTTTTTCTTAAAATATTGCAATCATAGCAACAGTGATCTAAGGAGTATTGGTAGAGAGGTGTTATCTCCTATGTTCCATTGCTATATCCATCAGAATTTTTAGGGGGTCCAGTTTTTTTTCTAAAAAAATAGCATGAGCGAGATGAACTGAAATCCAGATATATTCTTCAATATTTATGAACTGGATGCACAAAATATTCTCCTACTATTGCATTCTGTCTTGGGAGAAAGCCTGAATCTGGTGCTGAATGGAAAATTTTGAGGTAGTTTTTAATGTACTGCATTCAAGATGGGACAGATAATTCTAATGTGCCGTCTTCTAATTCTGGAAAAGGCTCTAATGCTGGGAAAGGTGGAAGGAAAGAGAAGAAGAGGATGACCAGTAGCAAGGTGGATGGGCTCAGTTAGGATGGCAATGAGTGCATCACTGGGAGACTTGAAAGAACAGGTTAGGGATAGATCGTCATGGAAAAAGTCTATGTGGTCACTAGGAATCGAAAATGACTTGATGGCACATAATCAAAAATTCAAAATCATCCTCCAGAGCCAGGAGCTCTGCCACAACATAAATGACACAATTCCAAGCACACTAAGAGTTAAAAAGAGTTGCACTGAATAATAAAGATTCCAATGATCACATGAATTTATGATATAAGCCTAATACACATAAATATTGTTATTAAGTAATGACCTGGCAATTTCCAGAAATGCCTCCTCTGTATGTAACTTATGATGTTGAACTTTACCTTCACAGTTTAATCCAGTTGAATCTAGAGAGAAACCTCTCTGACATTCACAGGCAAAACTTCCAGGAGTATTTTGACAGATTCCTTTTGATCCACAAAGTGAAGGCTGTGATCCACATTCATTGTTATCTACAAAATGGTATTTCATTTTTATAAATCAGATACCAAAAGAAAAATAAAGAATGCTATGTTTGAATTTTTGCACACCTGTATTCATAACTGATATTCTCAATATCATAAAGACTTGATATCAATCTTGAATATTATCAAGGCTTTTAGTTATAATACATAATGGAAACTATTTGTACCTATTGCATGCTATCAGATCCAGACAACATAGGAAAATTATGGCTTCTCTTTGAGAATGTTTCACAATTTCCCTCCATGTGAAAGAGCTTGCAAATAGCAAGAGATATATGCTAAAGGTCAGTAAGTGGAAAGGTATTATTTGTCCTAGGCGTGATCAAGTGGAACTATGTTAGATTTACACATAGTATTTAGCAACTTCATAAAATGTTCACTAAAATGTTTAATTTTTTTTAACACATGTACACATGCACACATACACAATTTTTCCTGGAATTTGTAAAATGTAATACTAGGATAACAACTGTCTTAATTTATAGCACAAACTGTTTCTAAACCTACAAAGTTCAAATGTTGTATGAGAGGATTCATACACTGTTATTGTTACCGGTAACATTATGTAAATAAAACTCAGGTGCAGGAAGGTCTACCTTTTCAGACAAAATTGGTATTCTCCCTGTTATACTAAAAGCACAGGAAGAAGAAAGTCAGAATTTAACAGCTTTTAACTATTTATTTATATTTCCAGATTTGAAAGCAAAGCTACTGGGAGCTTTGTGTCCTCATTTCAATCTTTTTCTTATTAAATCCTATTAATCTAAACTCAGAGAGATTTATTACTAGCCCTGATTGTTGCTAGGGAGTTCTGACAGATGTTGCATGTTTTTTATGAAAGCAAAAAAACAAAAAAAAACCCCAAAAACTTATTTTACCTATACAGGCTGTATGATGTTGTGTGAAACCTGGTGGGCATTTACATGTGAATCCCCCAAGGGTATTGACGCAAAGAAATTGACAGTTATGCTGTTTAGTTTGACATTCATCAAGATCTAGGAGTGAAAAAATAAGGTGTTTATTTCTTTAAAATGAAGGCAACATGATTAGTTAGTCTAATATTTAATAACATTGTTAGAGCAATCAAAATTGTTTTTAAGTGCAGAGAATTAGCCAAAAGGCTCTCTTTCATATCTCCCTATGTTTTGATTGAACACGATGAGTATCACAATGTAAGTGCTGTCCCTTACAAACATACATGCAGTATCACAATTGATATATCAAAGGGGTGGAGCTTGCCTTGCAATGGCATAACACTCATTGCATCATTTGTTTAGCCACCCCCACCCCATCATAGATATCTCTGGTCCTTACCCATTTTGCCCAGAAGACCCAATCTCTGTGGTAATCAGTATTAGATTTGCTGTGTGGTCTATTCTGTGCACGGGCAGATCTTCACAAAGGATTTTTCTTTGCAGTGCAACATTCTTATTCATGATTCACATGATGCATTTTCCACCTCATCATCCTGGTTGCTATTTTCCTTCAATATGCTGTTGTTTCTTCTACTTCTTTTCAAACAAATAGCCCTGTAACTTCCCACTAAAGCAATTATGCAGGTGGACAATGATGGACAGAGAGATTAATGTATGTAAGTCTTGTTTGCAAAAATTGGGGGTAAGGACTAGAGATGATGAAAGGCTACAGTATATCCTTGCAGCTTTTGAAGGTGATCTTCACAAATTATGTATATAGTACTGTGCAAAAGTTTTTGGCAGGTGTGAAAAATTGCTGTAAAGTAAGAATGCTTTCA